GCTGCCAGACATCTGGCTCCAGGCAGCTTTGCCTAGGTCTCACCTCCCTGCCTGCTGGCAAGAAGCCCCCTAGGCCGGGTCACCAGCTCCTGCCAACCCGTCTAGCACCATCCCAGTCCCTCCAGACCTCAGCCACTCACCACACCGCATTTCACCATGTCAGCAAGACCCCAGACATGGGCCCACGTGCCTTGCTCCCGGAAGCTCTCCTACCCTGTCTCCACCCCCGTACCCTCCTCTCTAGTGAATTCTCTGGGTGTGTTTTTAAAAACTCTAGTCCTCAGTCAGGCCTGGTGGCTCATGCTTGTAATCCCAGTACTTAGGGAGGCCAAAGCAGGCAGACCACTTGAGTTCAGGAGTTTGAGACTAGCCTGGCCAACATGGTGAAACCCAGACTCTAGAGAAAATACAAAAATTAGCCAGACGTTGTGGCACATGTTTGAAGTCCCAGCTACTCAGGAGGCAGAGGCACGAAAAACACTTGAGCCCAGGAGACGGAGGTTGCAGTGAGCTGACCTTGCACCACTGCACTCCAGCCTGGGTGACAGAGTGAGATCCTGTCTCAAAAAAAAAAAAAAAAAATCTAGTCCTCAAGACATAAATTCCACCTTCACCACTTAAAAACAGCTACCATTAATAATTAATATGCAAAACACCTAATTATATTATCTTATTTAATTTTCACAAAGAACTATTATTGCCATTTTACAGATGAGGAAACTGAGGCTCAGAAAGGTTAAGATCTGGGCTTTGAAGCCAGGTCTCTGCCACCCCAAGTCCTGGGCTTTTATCCACTGAATCACATCAGAATAGCTTGTGGCTCAGTGGACAAAATTGGTTCTGTCCTCTGCACTGGAACAGGAGGTTCCCGAACGGAGGGGCTGTGTGTTTTATTTGCCTTTATATTCCCAAGGTCAAACACAAGACCTGGCCCAAAAGCACAAGGAGGGAGGGAGAGAGGAAGAGCAGGAGGAGGGGAGTCTTTTTCACATTCAGTTAGGGGAGGTGTCGCTGGGAACTGGCACTCTTTCTCATTCACCCAACAAATGTTTATTGAGCAACTACTAGGTGCCAGACATGGCACCAAACAAAGTCCTTCCTGAGGGAGCTCACCTTCTAAAGTACTGGGAAGAAAAATCAAGCCAGGTTAGGGATGGTGTGTGTGCTGCTTTGGAGAGGGTGTTCAGGGGAGGAGGTTGCTGGGTGGAGAATAGCTTGGAATGGGCTAAGTGGCGGAGTGGGGACCTCAGTCTGAAAGCCTCTGCAGCAATCCGAGGAGATGGTGGAGGCTCAAGCCGGGGGTAAAAGTGGGTTTTAGTGAGAAGTGGTCGGATTTAAAGTCTATTTTGAAAGTAAAACAGACAGGACAGGAATCCAAAGCTGAACGTGGCCTGTTTTTTTACCACAGTACACCTCATGGAGAGGAAAAGCCAGTTTCACTTAAAAATGTCTGTGAAGAAACCATTAAGATGATTAATTCTATGACATCTTGACTTTGGAGTACATGATTTTTTAATATTCTGTGTGATGAAATGGGAAGCCCTTCTGCGAACCGGAGGACAGTGATTACCTCCAGGCAACATCCTCTGTGCCTGAGCTGCTGGCCTCCCAGCCCTCTTGGTGATGGAACTTCGTTTTTACTTAAAAGAATGACTGACAAACTGTGCTTACTCAGACTTGGGTATTTGGTCAACATTTTCTTGAAAATAAAAGGAGTGAGCCGTCGCTTCAAGGAGAACAACTGAAATATTTGTTGGCATGATAAAAGTTGAGCTTTTAAATGAAAATTAGCATTTGGGAAACTTGTATCCACCACTGTAAGTGTGGACACTTTCCAATACTTTACATACTTTTCTGATGAGATTGGTGGTGACGTTACCAAATGTGATTTTTAAATTTTGTATAACATTTGGAAAATCTGCATCACTCCATGAACTGATATTTTCCAAATGACCAGAACACAATTCGATGAAGCCATGCGTGAGTAAAGATCCATCGAAAGACCAAGTGCAGGCTGCGTGCAGCGGCTCACGCCTGCAATCCCAGCACGTTGGGAGGCAGAGGCGGGTGGATCACCTAAGGTCAGGAGTTCGAGACTAACCTGGCCAACATGGCGAAATCCTGTCTCTACTAAAAATACAAAAATTAGCCAGGCATGGTGGTGCAGGCCTCTAATCCCAGCTACACAGGAGGCTGAGGCAGGAGAGTAGCTTGAGCCTGGGTGGTAGAGGTTGCAGTGAGCCGAGATTACACCACTGCCCTCCAGCCTGGGCAACAAAGCAAGACTTCGTCTCAAAAGACAAAAGAAGAAAGCAAAGCAAAATAATGGATTTTAATATAAGAGAATATGAAAAAGTCATTGATGTGGCTTCAGAGTCCACATGCAGCTAACCTATAAGATAAAGCATCAATTGTCGAGTTTGGGTATGGTCAGGCAGGGCATGGTGGCTCATGCCTGTAATCCCAGCACTTTGGGAGGCTGAGGTGGGTGGATCACCTGAGGTCAGGAGTTCAAGACCAGCCTGGCCAACATGGTGAAACCCCACCTCTGCTAAAAATACAAAAAATTAGCTGGGCATGGTGGTGCACACCTGTAATCCCAGCTACTCAGGAGACTGAGGCAGGAGAATTGGTTGAACCCAGGAGGTGGAGGTTGCGGTGAAAGTTTGGGTATACTCAAAGAAGGCTATGTACAATGATCTAAAAAGGCCTTTAAAATATCTGAACTTTTCCAACTACACCTATCTGTATGAGGCCAAACTTTCTTCATATATACATTAGCCTGATAGGGCTGCCCTCACCAAGTACCACAGACCAGGTAGCTTAAAGAGCAGAAATTTATTTTCTCACAATTCTAGAGGCCGAAAGTCCAAGCTCAGGGTATCCCCAGGGCTGGTTTCTCCTGAAACCTCCCTCATTGGCGTCTGATGTCTGCACGCTTCTGGTGTCTCTATGTGGTCTTGCTCTGTGCCGGGGTCCAGACTTCCTACTCTGATAAAGACACCAGTCATAGCGGATTAGGGTCCACCCTAATGTTTTCATTTTCAACTTAATTGTACCTGTAAAGACCCAGTGTCCAAATACACTCACATTCTGAGGTAGTGGGGACATAATTCAGACTGTAACAGTATACTTCAACTAAATAATAACATATTACAAGAGGTTAAATGTAGAGGCCATATAAGAATTCAGCTGTCGCCGGGCGCGGTGGCTCAAGCCTGTAATCCCAGCACTTTGGGAGGCCGAGACGGGCGGATCACAAGGTCAGGAGATCGAGACCATCTTGGCTAACACGGTGAAACCCCGTCTCTACTAAAAAATACAAAAAACTAGCCGGGCGAGGTGGCGGGCGCCTGTGGTCCCAGCTACTCCGGAGGCTGAGGCAGGAGAATGGCGTAAACCCGGGAGGCGGAGCTTGCAGTGAGCTGAGATCCGGCCACTGCACTCCAGCCTGGGCGACAGAGCCAGACTCAGTCTCAAAAAAAAAAAAAAAAGAATTCAGCTGTCTTCTATTAAGCCAGATATTTAGAATATTGATAAAAATGTAAAATAATGCTACACTTTGCCCAAAATTTATTTGCCCAAAGTATATTTTTCACAAAAAAAAGTTGCGTTAATATGTAATTGGTTTATTATTTTTAGAAGAATTAATAAAGGTTTTTAAACTTTCTCAGTTTATTTTTTGCTTGAGATAGAGTCTTACGCTGTAGCCCAGGCTGGAGTGCAGTGGCTCACAGCAGCCTCCGCCTCCCAGGCTCAAGCGATCTTTTCAACTCAGCTTCCCAAGTAACTGGGGCTACAGCTCCACAACTCCACACCCAGCTATTTTTTTTTTTTTTTTTTGTATATGTTGGAGAGACGGGGTCTCACTATGTTGCCCAGGCTAGCCTCAAACTCCAGTGATCTATCTCCAAAAGTCCTGGGATTACAGGTATGAGCCACTGTGCCCAGCCTTTTTTTTTATTTTTATTTTTTAAGACACAGGGTCTCATTCTGTCCCCAGCAAGCTGCCACACAGTGGTACAATCATAGGTCATTGCAGCCTCCACCACTGGGCTCAAGCAATCCTCCTGCCTACGCCTTCTCCTCCCAAAGTGTTGGAACTACAGTTGTGAGCCCCCACACCTGGCCTCAGTTTTAATTTCTAATAGGTAATTTATTTTTGGTAGATATAATCTGTATAAATAAAACCTCTTTGGAATTCTCAATAATTTGTATAGAGTAAAGGGGTCCTGAGACTGGTTTACAGTGATGAAAATTTGTGTTTAGATCTTTTATCCAAATATCCCACTAGGAGACTGACCTCAGGGCATTTGCGCTTGCTCTTTGAATACCTTATTTGTCATGCCCTGTACTGTGATAAAGGTGTGTCTGAGGGGACCTTATCCATCACCTTCCTTTCCTGACAGTAATTATTGTTTTCTCAAAGACATACAGCTTCAACCCTTTTCATCTACTCTGAATACTGTCCTGAATCATCTCCGATACAGAAAATCTGGAGTGCCATTGTTCAGGTCTTAACTGAAATGTCACTTCCTGGGAGAGGCTGCCTAAAACCCATAACCCATGCCATAGATCAGAAATAAGTTCTTGGCCAGGCACGGTGGCTCACACCTGTGATCCCAGCACCTTGGGAGGCTGAGGCGGGTAGATCACCTGAGGTCAGGAATTCAAGACCAGCCTGGCCAACATGGTGAAATCCCATCCTGGAAGGCAGAGGTCACCAAGATTGCACCACTGCACTCGAGCCTGGGTGACAGAGCAAGATTCTGTCTCAAATAAAAAAAGAAAGAAAGAAAAAGAGAGAGAGAGGAAGGAAGGAAGGAAGAAGGAAGGAAGGAAAAGAAAGAGGTTCTTATGGCACCCTGGGTTCTTCCCTCATAGCACCTACCAGGGGGATTGTAGAGTTGCTTCTGAGAGTATTAGTTCAGCCTCCCCCATTCAAAGTAGATCTATAAAGCTAATGTCCTTGTCTCTCTTGTTCATTGCTGTATCCTCAGTTTCTAGGACGTTTGTTCAAAGAATGAATGAATGAAGACATGCATTCAACTGCTGTGGACCAGTGGAAGCTACTAGTGGAGTCAGGGGCGCTGCAGCTGTGCACACAGGCATGCAGTGTGGGAGCATCGCTGGTGCATCGCCTGACTTCTGAGGATGCTTAACGTTTCAAACCACAGCAAACTTCATTATAGAACCTATTTTCCAGAACACATACACAAGATAGTGCTGTGTGGAGGAAGAAATGAGGTGCGCCTAGGATCATCAAAATCTTCACTCCACCCCCAACCTCCTATCCCCACTTTTTTGCCACTGACAGGTGAGCCCATTGGAAATAAGCCAGTAAGTCTTCCTGGGACCTCCTTCAGCTCCTTCTCCAGGGAAAAGGCAGAATGCAAATACAGTTTTCGCTCTTGTGTGAATTTGGAAAATGTGCAATGTAGAGAGGCCCGTGTGCATTTCATGGCAGATCCAGAAAATAAGGTTTAATGATGAGAAAAGAAGGAAATGATTGTCAAAATATGACTTCATAAGGTACAACCCCAGGGGGCCTACTTTGGCAGTAAAGATAATTAAGCTTAGATTTTTAAAGGTCAATTTTAACCAGCTTGTGAGGCAAATGGCAACAGTAACATCATCCTAGCCCTCTATATCTATGGCAACTGAATTTCTCAGCTGTAATTAAACATAAAACTACAACTACTGCATTGGTCCCAGCACCAGCTGCAAATACATATACGAGAACAAAGTAGGCAAACTTGACACATCCTTTTGGAATATTCTGGCCATTTACTGGGAAAAGAAGCAACAGAAACTGCTGTTAAACCTGCTGCTAATGACGCCAGGTTGCTGATCCACCAACCTGCCTCTGTCTGGGACCTTGTGTGAGAGGAAGACTGATCCCAAATCAATTGCTTTTCATTCATATATTGGTTATAAGCTGGAGAGCAAAGGTAGCAAAAAAAAAAAAAAAAAAAAAGTGATTATTTGGATATTTGAATTATCTTTTTAAAAGTATTTTTTTTCTAATCTCAAACATGATTAAAAAGGACCAGGCACAGTGGTTCACACCTGTAATCCCAACACTTTGGGAGGCCGAGGTGGGCAGATCACTTGAGGTCAGGAATTTGAGACCAGCCTAGCCAACATGATGAAACCCTGTCTCTACTAAAAATACAAAAATTAGCCAGAAGCAGTGGCATATGCCTGTAATCCCAGCTACTTGGGAGGCTGAGGCAGGAGAATCACTTGAACCCAAATGCAGAGGTTGCAGTGAGCTGAGATCGCACCACTGCACTCCGGCCTGGGTGACACAGTGAGACTCCATCTATAAAAAAAAAAAAAAAAACAAGAGAGATTTTAAAAAGAAACCAACACATATTTTTTGTAGAAAATTTCTAAAATTCAGACAAATGTCAAGAAGAAAAGAAAAAGTACCTGAAGTCCCAATTAGGTTGTTTCCTGTCTTTTTTCTGTACGTGTATTTCATACAATTAGGATTAAGCATATAGTTTTGTGTCCTGTGCTTTTTTCCCATTAAGAGTATGTTACGATCTTTTTTCCATATTATTATTCTTCAAAAGTACAGCTTTTAACAATGGCAGAAAATTTTTACCATATAACTCTCCTATAAATTGTCTTTGTACTTTATCTCATTTACTCCGCATTGTGGGATTAGTCATTTTTACAGCCTGTCAGCATGTCCTACATAGGCAATCTAGCTCCCCAATTTAGGAGGTAGAGTTCTTGGCATCTGTTGCACTGATCTCACTCCACTTTGGAGTCTCAGCTGAAGCCAAAACGAGAGTCCCGTTTTAGCATCCTGTTCCATATGTAAAATTGGAGGGAATAACTAAGACAAATTAATAAAAATACAACAGTGGTGGTAGACTTTCACCCACTTGTTTCAGTCTTTGTTGAACTAAATAGAGAAAAGAAAGTAAGGATATTACAGAGGAGGAGAATATAATGACTAAATGTTCTGAACTGTATCCTTTGAAAAGAGTAGACTTCCTTTCAATTAAATGGAAAAAGGTATAACGATGTCCACTGATGAATGGGTAAACAAAATGTGGTATATACATACAAGGAGGCCAGAGTGGTGGTTCATGCCTGTAATCCCAGGATTTTGGGAGGCCAAGGTGGGCGGATCGCTTGAGGCCAGGAGTTCGAGACCAGCCCGGCCAAAATGGTGAAACCTTGTCTCTACTAAAAACACAAAAAATTAGCCAGGTGTGGTGGTGCACACCTGTAGTCCCAACTACTTGGGAGGCTGAGGCAGGAGGATCACCAGAGCCTGGGAGGCAGAGGTTGCAGTGTGCCGAGATCACGCCACTGCACTCCAGCCTGCGTGACAGAGCAAGATCCTGTCTCTAAATAAATAAATAATACACACAATGGAATATTATTCTGCCTTTAAAATAAAGAAATCCTGTCATGTGACAACATGGATGAACCTGGAGAACATGATGCCAAGAGAAATAAGCAAATCACAGAAGGACAAATACATGATTCTACTTATATGATGTCAAACTCATAGAAAGAGAATAAAATGGTAGTTGCCAGAGGCTGGAGGGAGGAGGGAATGGGGAGTTGCTAGTCAGTGGATATAAAATTTCAGTCATGCAAGAGGAAAAAGTTCGAGAGATCCGCTGTATAACAATGTAGCTATAAATAACAGTATTGTGTTGTACACTTTAAAATCTATTAAGAGGGTAGCTCTTACCTTAAGTGTTCTTGACACAATGAGATCAAGTAAAACGGAAAGCCCATTGTATATAACAAACTGGAAATTTTACAGTCATATTCCTGATCATAATGCAAGAACACAAGAAATAAGTTAAAAGTAGATGAATTGGATGTCTTTTGTAGTTGGCAACAAATAAAACAAAATAAAATAAAAAGTAGATGCAGAAAGACATTTGAGAATGTCAAGCCTTTCTATTGAACTACTCTAGAACAAAAATACATTTATAAGATATTTGGGAAATAATGCTAATAAAAACACTCCATATAAAAACTCATGGATCACCCTAGAGCTATACTCAGAGGAAAATGCCTACTCTTAAAACATTCTGGGAGTAAGAAAAATAAAATACAGCAGTCAATTAAGTCTGCCCAAGAAGTAGGGAGGAGAAACTTCATTTTCCCTTCAAGAGCTGCCTGAGGTGACGTGCCCATTTTGTCACACTCCCCAGAGTCAAACACTTTAGCAAAACAATAAAGATCACAACTCCAAGGCTTATTTGGAGCTCAACAAGTTAGACATAAGGTGTTTCGTTGGTTTTGTTAAAAAGCAGATATACTGAGATATAATTCACATCCCACCATACAATCTACCCACTTAAGGTGCAAAAATGAGTGGTTTTTACCATATTCACAGGTTGGTGCATCCATTACTATAACCAGTTTTTAGAACATTTTATTTAATTTTAATTTTTATATTTTTGAGACGGAGTTTTGCTCTTGTTGCCAGGGCTGGAGTGCAGTGGCGCGATCTTGGCTCACCACAACCTCCGCCTCCCGGGTTCAAGTGATTCTCCTGCCTCAGCCTCCCGAGTAGCTGGGATTACAGGCATGTTTCACCATGCCCGGCTAATTTCGTATTTTGGGTAGAGACAGAGTTTCTCGATGTTGGTCAGGCTGGTCTCGAACTCCCGACCTCAGGTGATCCGCCCACCTCGGCTTCCCAAAATGCTGGGATTTCAGGCATGAGCCACCATGCCTGGCCGGAACATTTTTATTACCATTGAAAAAACTCCATCCCTTGACCAGGTGGTGGCGCATGCCTTTAATCCCAGCACTTTGGGAGGAGGCTGAAGTGGGAGGATCACCTGAGGTAAGGAGTTAGAGACCAGCCTGGTCAATATGATGAAATCCCGCCTGTACTAAAAATGCAAAAAATATCTGGACTTGCTGATGCATGCCTGTAGTCCTGGCTACTTGGGAGGCTGAGGTGGGAGGATCGCTTGAGCCCAGGAGGTGGAGGTTGCAGTCAGCTGAGATGGTGCCACTGCACTCTAGCCTGGGTGACAGCATGAGACTCTGTCTCAAAAAAAAAAAAAAAAAAAAAAAAGAAAGAAAAATCCCATTTCCATTAACAGCCATTCCCCATTTCTCTCCATCCCCACCCTGCTGGCAACCACTAATCTGCTTTCTGCGTCTGTGGATTTGCCTATTATGGGAATTTTATATAAATGGAATCCTGTGGAGAGAGAGAGAATGGAGAATGACTGCTTAACTGGGTACAGGAGTGATGAAAAAGTTCTGGAACTAGATAGTGGTGATGGTTGCAAAACATTGAGAATGTATTTAAACATGCCTAAGTTGTACACTTTAAAATGGTTAACCAATCCGGGCAACATGGTGAAACCCTGTCTCTACCAAAAAAATAAATAAATAAATAAATAAATAAATAAATAAATAAATAAATAAATAAAATGAATGAATGAATGAATGAATGAATGAATGCCAGGCATGGTGGTCCCAGCTACTCGGGAGGCTGAGGTGAGAGGGTTGCTTGAGTCCAGGAGGTTGAAGCTGCAGTGAACCGAGACTGCTCCACTGCACTCCAGCCTGGGTAATAGAGTGAGACTCTGTCTCAAAAAATAAAAACTAAAAATAAAAAAATCTATAATAAAGTGGTCGATTTTATGTTATGGTGGATTTTATGTAATGTGTTTTTCTACCATAATAATTTTTAAAATCCAAACCAAGGAAAGCTAGTATTTGTGAAGTCATTAGGCAGAACCATATCTAATTTAAGAATTAGTCATGAGCATTGAAGTGGATTCCTTTTTGTCACATTGTACTAAGAGAAACAACAAACACTGCCAACAAAATATCACCCAAAACAACAACTATTTAAGCTTATTTAACCAAAACACGGAGGTTAGGCATTTTGTTTCTTTGAAAGCAAGGTATAATAATTTTAACCAAACAAACATGTGGAGCTAAAAAAGATGTTTTAGCAATACACATAAAATTTTAATAGATTGTTACCTAAGTGACTATGAAAAGCTTGAAATGTCACATTATGATGCTGGCTTCACCTTGCTCTGTTTATTTACAGACTAGGAAAGAGAAAGATAAGCCTCCAGCCTTATCAAGCTCCTAAAAATTTCTCACTTTGGCAGCATTAAACTATTGTGCAAGAGCAAGTGGGGTCAGGCTCTGTGACTCACGCCTATAATCCCAACAAGCTACCAGCTTTCAGGTCCCAAATGTAATAAGACTCAAAGAAATGGCATCAAATTCTAGAGCAAAATCAATCATCTACCATGATTGTGCTGAATATCCTCCTGTTTCTACATAAGGGAACATTAAAGTCAGCTTCTGAATGGCTTGCGACTTTAAAAATAAAACTAGCCAGGCGTAGTGCCACACACCTGTAGTCCCAGCTACTCTGGAGGCTGAGGTGGCAAGATTCCTTGAGCCCAGGAGATCAAGGCTGCAGTGAACATGAGTGTGCCACTGCATTCTAACCTGAGTGACAAAGCAAGACCCGGTCTCTATTTTTTAAAAAAACTATTTAAGAAAACTGCAACCAAGTATTAATGCAGTGATTTGTGATCTTGGATGCACATTAGAATCATCTAAGGGCTTTTAGAATCTTCCATGCCCTGGTCACACCCAAGGCCAATTTTTTTTTTTTTTAATTTATTTTAGGTTCTGGGATACATGTGCAGAACATGCAGGTTTGTTACATAGGTAAACGTGTGCCATGGTGGTTTGCTGCACCCATCAACCCATTATGTAGGTACTAAGCCCAGCATGCATTAGCTATTAGTCCTGATGCTCTCTCTCCCCCTGTGCCATCGACAGGCCCCAGTGTGTGATGTTCCCCTCCCTGTGTCCATGTGTTCTCATTGTTCATCTCCCACTTATGAGTGAGAACATAGAGGCGTTTGGTTTTCTGTTCCTGTGTTAGTTTGCTGAGGATGATGGCTTCCACCTTTATCTATGTCCCGGCAAAGAACA